TTGTGACTCTCTCTCTCTCTCTCTCTCTCTCTCTCTCTCTCTCTCTCTTTCTCTATAACTATATGTACCCTGTATACTTCTGTATATATATATAGTTTTATACATATCCCTTTATATTCGTGATGCTCCTTGCTGCTTTCGTTGTCTGGCCATTTGGATACTCCTCTTAAGGTTGTCGCTGCCCCAGTCGTTTCGCATCTCTACCGATCCTTCAATCTCGCACATATACACACATACACACACACACTCTCTCTCTCTCTCTCTCTCTCTCGCTCCCTCGCTGTCTCTCGTTATCTCTCTTTCTCTCTCTCTCTGTCTCTCCTCTCTCGCTGTATTTACCTTTGCATCTCTTCCGTGCAAACAAGATAACTACAAGTCTAAGTGTGAATATACATATATAGAAATATATACCTCTATATATGCAAAAGGTATACATATGTAGATGATTATAGATATATGTATACATATATATATATATACACATATACCTATAATATATATATATATATATATATATATGTATATATATATATATATATGTATGAAACAATAAAAATAGACAACATATATATGTAAGACATTCGGTGATTTAGTTGTCTATGAATTTCTGTTACATGCACTATAGATTGTCTGCCTATATAAAACTGTCTTGATAATAAAACACGATAAACATTGATTACACCACCCTGTTATATTATATGTATATAGTGTGAATACATATATGTATATACAATTGAAACATGCTAAGATACGCAATAGGTTCTGAATTTATTGACAAGACACTATATATACAGTTTATAACTTATAGTATATAATGCTTATTATCACGACACATGTATGGATAGATAGGCAGATCGAAAGTGGGCAGGTAGGTGGAAACATCGATAGAAAGAGATAGCCACATAGATAGCCTAAGCAGAGCTAGGACTATATCGGACACAGGTAGGTATGTGCATGCATACATGCGCATTGTGTACATACAGACAGAATGCAACATTTGCATGACCTAGATATCCATACATAATATATATATATATATATATATATATATGCACACACACACACACACACTCCCTGTACCCTCTACAGATACATCTTATATGTATATATGTATTATAAATCACTCATATTTATGTGTGTGGCAGTATGTATATGTATATATATATATATATATATATCTGTATATGTACTCATTTTATGCAAGTAGATAACCAATATATTCCTACATATACTACAGTACACAGGTATGTATGTGCACAGATAAACATAATGAAGTCAAACAGAGTGTTTGTTTGCTTCCTTGTTTCCTTGCTTGTTTAGCCATGTATACAGTATATTTATGGTTCCTATGTATAGCCAGCATCCTATACATATACATATGTGTATATAGTTCATAATCTATCTATATATATATATATATATGTATATGTGTGGTTTATCTCCTCCTGCCTATCTACCTCTGACACGAGTATGTTCGGATGTGTGTGTATATATATATACACATATCTGTATACATACATACATACATACATACAGGTTATATATACTGGTGATCTAACTCTGATCAAACCATTGATTTATCGCGGCCTATCTGCCTAGCCTGTCTTATCTTTCCCTATTGCATCGCATCTGGTCTTAGCTTGTCTTATCGGTTTATCTATCCATATATATATATAGTGTGTTACTTGCTGGGATGCCTATATACACAGCAAGGAACATGCTTCTCATTAGACCGATGAAGCTTTGTGTGTGTGTGGGTGAGTGCCTAAGGAAGTACATCGCCGATGTCATCAAGTACTGTTCGAAGCCGGGCCGTGAGAACTTGGTCAAGCTGCTTCGGCTGGCACTGAAACTACAACGATTCCATTTATTTGCTGTGGCATGTGGCATCGGTGTATTTAACCATCTTGCTGAGGAAAGACAAGTATCAGAAAAAAGTTTTGAAGTACTATGTGGAGTATGAAGAACTTGACAGCGATGCGGAAGTGGAAGAGGAGGAGGAGAAGGAAAAGGAGAATGACGTGGCTCCTTGCTCAAAAACTAATCCCATCGACCCTATACATGTCCTTAGTGAAATTATAGGTCCTCTCCTAATGTGTGTGTGTGTATATATATATATATATTAAGATACTGATATTGTATATGTATATATATATATATAGATATATACTGATATGTTGACTCGTGATGATGCCTGCCTGATCTGTATACTATTAATTGAGGTCAGCCGCAATCCGGCCGACAGGAAGCTCAATCGAACGCAGACGAAGCTCAACGAGCTGCCAGAGCAGCCCGCAACCTCTGATAGTGAGGATGATGGAGGAAAGGAGAGAACTAAGAAGCTTACAGCCTATCAGGAGGACTGTCTCAATGTCAAGCTTCTGCCGCACATGTGTCTTTATGCATGCAGGCCACATCCGATTTCTGTGATTGGGTGCATGCCTAGCATATCCTAGCACAATCTATAGAAAGTGTCTGGCTTGCACGTACAGGAGCACAACAGCTTCAAAAAGTTTGGGGACTCGTTGTTGTCCAAAGCTTCAAAGCTGACGGATGTGTTGTCCGACCTGGAAGCTTTCCTTGACGACGCCGGCAAAGCATCGGAGCAGAAACGCCTCCGCACGTCAGGAGCTCATTGAGAGTTAATTTGCACCCAACAATTTATCGGTGGGGATGGGCTTAGGGTGGGTGCAAGCAGCATGCCATCCACGACCCATGCAGATCAAGCTGTATACTCTGAAGTCGCTGAATCTGACAGATGTTGCTCTGATTCATGCAAGGTGTCTCCAGGGCTTGGAGCAAGCTATCGGTTGCCTCAATGCGGAGCACGAGAAAGTGGAAGCCGAGAAAGTCGATGTCGCCGAGCTGATGGACAAGGGGTGTGCTGAAGAGACTGCCAAGCCGCTACTTGTCTATGATATGTCCCAAGCAGTATGACACTGCATCTGCATTCGTGCAACCCAGGACCCTGAACTACGCCCTACATAAGCCTATAAGCCCAACAAGCCCACCAAGCCCACCCATGGTACAGGTTGCTGAAGAAGATCAAGACACAAATGGCCAGTTCCCGACTTGCGTGCCTTGTCCATTATAAAGACCCACTATGTTTGCCTTCTACATGTATGGGTGAGGTTTGCCATTATCGTCATTCTGCTTTCATTATGAATTCAGGTGCAGCAAAGTCGCTGCGCAGGAGAACTCTGCTCGGCTGCTCAGCTGCATAAAGTCACTTCGGCAGGTGTGTTTCGCTAATGCACTTACATGTTCTCTAACAATCTAGATTCTGGAGCTTTCATTGCTGGGCTCTGCAGGACCTTGCTGAAGGCGTTGAACAAGGCTGCTGAGGAGAAGGAGGGCTAGTGGCATGCTGCTACCGGGTTCAACTCATGCCCTCCCAGGTGTGGGTATGAGCAAATTTGGGACATGGATCCTGTGCAATGGGGTACCCTGTTGCCGTCACGGGCTTGCAAAGCGGTGCTTCAAAGCTCCATGGGGTAATGGAGTTTTACGGCTCCCTGGAATGACAACAGTTTCTGCTCCTGCCTACTTTATGTACAAAAGGCAGTGCCGTGAAGCTTAATTGATCAACCGCCGAAGCCTGGAACCCGATCGAAGCACGACCGGATCAAAAGCCAGTGAGCGCTCCGTCTTTGTGCTGCCATGTGCATATGTATACCCAGATATATGTTCGGTATTGCATGTACATGGTGCCAGCCAGGTGGCAACAATCCGGGTCACCTCCTGAAAGAGCTGACGTCGATGGTGGGCCAGGGTGTACTTGCCTTGGCTATGCAGATTCGGCATGGATGTGCGATTGCAGCAGTGCATATGTATCTGCTGTGCATGGGCTTGCCAGAACATATTCAAGTTCAAATGCGCCAGTGCCCAATTCCTTCCTCATTTCGACCCCATAATCATCTTACAACACCAACAGTTGTTGATCCCCTGAACCTATATATGTAGTAACACTTCTAATGTATATAGAGTTAATTCTGAATACATCCCATATCCCTTTTCCAAAGCCAAATCCCTGGCTGGAATCCTAAACCCAGCTTCCGTATCGATTCTGCACAGCAATCTGTTCAGCCATGGATATGGACAGTGACACCGCTGACTTGCTTGACCTGCTCACTTACGATTGTGGTGTGACTGGGAAAAAGCGATGTGCTGTCAATTCGAATCTCATCATGCCTAGCCCCGAGTCCCTGAAGCAACTAGGCAATGATAGCATACTTGTTCGTGGCATGATAGAAAGTCTGTTAACTGTTCCCATGCATGCCATGTCCTGTGTACTTTCTTCGGTGCCTGGAGGACAGCTGTGGCCTGGAAATCTTCCGGGTCTATGGGCTCCAAGCATCGCAGAACCGTGGAGGACGAGGGCCCAGATGTACTATCGACTAAGGATGGCTTGGTGATACAGCCGCAATGTGTGGCCCCGTCACAGAAAACCGAAGAAGCTTGGCTTTCACAACTATACCGTTATCCATGCATGAAGTGTGTATGTCCGAAATCAACTCCATGACCCTTTATATGCTGTATCGTACCTGCTAGTATAGGGTCATTCAACACTTCAGGTACCTCTGGCTCTGGCAATCCAGACCCTCCGTCGTGTGGGTGAAGCCGATGATTGGACCATGCCATGGGATATCTTGAGAGCTTTGGGTTTACGTGACCGCAGAATGCGGGCCAGGGCGAACCGAAGCAAACCGAATTGTGGCAAAGTTTTGGTGCATGCCAGGCTGCAAGCTCAATGTTTCCGCGAGAACCACGGAGTGTCCTTGTGTTGCTTCAAGATCGGGGTTACAGCGAACCCTTGCATTCGATATATTGATTACTTGCAAAGGAGTTTTACTGCAATGTGGATAATCCACGAAGCAGATGATGTTGGCCTAGTGCACATGCTAGAAGCTGCCTTAATATCACATTTTCAACACCTTGCCGGCTGCAAGAATGAAGCCGACAGCGGGGGTGAAGGTGCTCTGAACCATCATGCTGCCAGAGGACCACCGTATTACGTTTACATTACCGGTGGTCGAGCGGATCAGGGCAAATGGGTGGGTTAGTCTATACAGGTTTCCTTAAGCCGGAATAACATACCTTTTTAGGGTTCCTTATTATGATTTCCTTATATAAGTCATTAAAAAGGTAGGTTATTCCGGCTTAAGGTTGGGTTTGATTATATATACAGAGCTCTATAGAGGTTTCTGACTGAACTGACAAACCTGCCCCTCGAGGAGTGTACTCCAAATGCTGTACCCCGGTAATTAATAACACCGCAATTCAGGATTTGCAGGCTTGCCTACAAGCTCAGCAGCATGTGTGGGAGACAAAATATGTTCGTGCTTTCAGAAGCTGTGCTCGACGAATTGCTTGCATCACATGAGCAGTCTTTGTTTTCAAACACCGGACTTTGTAGGTATAGAAAATCACAGACTGAGGCAGCCTGCAAGCACACCATCAGGGTGGCCCGGGCAGCGATCAAGGACAACCCCAACGGCCAGTCAGGTGCCTTGCTGAAGTTCGCACAAGTTAGATCAAAAGATGCTGAATCTGGAGCCCATCGAATCTTTCGAGCAAGTGGTCTTACTGTTACGATCAACATCGATCGGCTTGTGCTAGGGGATTCCCCCAGCTTGCAGAGCTTCCCGTTCATCAAACTTTCAAAATGGGTCACCTACCTGCTGGACCACCAGTGCTTGCACAAGCTCACAGGTGTTGTTGAGGAAAACAGGATGGAGGATGTTCTACTTGAGTTTTGGTCCCGGTACCAGGCATTGTACCCGCAGCATGACCTGTGGGACAATGAAGACATCGACTGGGCCCGAGCGATCCCCGTCTACACCCATACAGATGAAGGCAGAACCTACAAAAAACGGCCGTTGCTTGTGATCTCCACCCACGGCTGTCTTGGATTGGGGACCCAACCACAGCGCCGGGCCCGACTGGATGATCCTACATGGGATGGGCAGGACATCCCCTTGGAAGAGGATGAGATGGGAATGAATTTTATTGGTGAGACTTGGGGTACTCACTTTATCCATGCCTCCATGCTGAAATCTGTTTCGGATGCTCAGCCTGAGGCTTTGCCGAAGCTCATGAAAGAGTATGCAGCCGACTTGCAAACTCTTTGCACAACAGGTGTTACTGACAGCTGTGGGCAAAACCGGGTATGGGTTGTACATTGTGGTACGAAGGGTGACCTTTTGGCTTTGTCCAAGCTGGGAAGGTTTACGCGAGATTACACTCGCATGCCCCGGGCGGCTGAATCGCAGCAGTTGGCAGTTGGTATCTGCCATCTTTGCAAAGCTGGCTGTGAGATGGAGCCCCCGAATCACAGCATCCCTTTCGAAGATGTTTCTTCAACGGCGGCCTGGCATGACAGTATGCACAAGGAATACCCTTGGGAGCAGTTGCCCACCATCCTTGAAGGGGTTCCCCGACCTGGGCCTGGTATGGAAGCCTCGTTCTTTTGTGTGGACTTGTGGCACTGCTGGCACTATGGGCTAGCAAAAGTCTTCGTTGCGAGTGTTTTGCTTGTTTTCCAGGAGTCACTGATTCCTGGTGGCAGCATCGACGCAAGACTAAAGTGGATCAGCGACGACTACAAGAACTTTTGTGCAACACACAACTTTGCAGGCCATGCCATCGAGATCAACAAGGATACAATGGGCTACAGCGGCTCGAGCTTTCCTTGTGGTCACTGGAGTAAGGGAGCTATCAATACCACATTGATGTACTACCTCAGGTTCCTTTGTGCCTGTTTGGGTGTCGGCAGCAACACACAGAACCCCCTCCACAGAACAATCGATTCCTGTATTCGTTTAGTTGAGCTTTTACCAAGCTGTTTGCTGGTTTCGGTTTTAATATCTATATACAGATTATAGGTGTGTCGTGAAAACTAAATTATATGCCGCCTATGCATGACAGATAGTTCGGAAGTTGACGGTGTATGATTCCCATGTGAGGCCAAAGCGATCATCCTGATGAATGACTTCTTGTCGGCGGTGTATGCCAAAGGCTTCTGGCTGAGGTCTGAAGATGCAAAGCACCTAGGGAAGTATTTGAAAAGGTTTTTGTGGTGCTATGTTCGATGTGCGCAGCTTTGCATGACGGGCCATGTCCAGCACCAACTTCGTTTCACGATGATCCCCAAAGTACACTTCCTAGACCATATCGCAACACGTATGCTGCAAGACAGTGCCAAGGCGATGTGGATAATTAATCCGGTCGCAGAATCAGTTCAAATGCAAGAAGATTACATAGGCAGACCGGCTCGACTCAGCCGCAGAGTCAATCCCCGATTGATTCATCAAAGGGTTCTTGATCGCTCCCTTCTGGCTATGTTTCGGGCACTGCATCCTGAGCAAGGCGAGCTATGATGTATACATTTATAGTGCTTTGAAGCATATACACGACACTGTGCCCGTGCCCTGGATGTGTACTTCAAAGTATCTACTGCTTGCTGTTGTAATCTTTTCGATCCCTTAACAATGTCTTTGCAAGCAAGGCTCGCCAATCCTCAGCTGCTTTGCCCATGCAGCTTCCAGCATAGCAGGTGCAGGCGAAGGATAAAGAATGTTAGAACTGTTCTACATGCATATAGATGTGGCATACTTTCGCCTCACCAATGTGAAACTTATGTGATCGCATATATGGATATGTGGCCTGTTCACCTGCGACTGATCTGTGTTACTTCGACACAGAGCGCAGCTCGATGCAAGCGGAGCGGGATAAGGTGGGTCAGGGCTCTGGGGAAGGCTTTTGGGCTTTGCTTTTGGAAGTTAAGCTGGGTCGGGACGGATTCAGGACTGTTCTTTTGGAGGTTGTGTACTTTGAGGGTCTTGTCTCTTGATGAATCAGCCAAGCAAAGTAGGCGAATAACCCAGCAAAGTAGTAAACATCGTAATATATACCGAAACCCTAAATATTGGAAAACCTGGTTTTTTTATATAAATCCTATATTTAATATATTACTTCGTTTCACGTTCCAGAAAGCTGCAACTCCACAGAACGGGAGCACATGCAGGCCCCAGGTATAGATTATCAAATCTAGATCTCTATAGAATACGAATCTCTGATGGCTATATTTTTATGACCTATAAAATCGATTCGAAAGATTTCTTTAATTTATCTTTTCTCTCTTTCCATATCATCCTTATTCTTATTAAATTCTTCTCTCTATCTCTTCATTTCCAATAATCTCTTTTCTCTCTTTATCGAATCCTTTCTAATCTCTCTCCTTTTTCTTGTAATTCTCTTCTATATTTTTCTAATTCTTCTTCTATACCTCTCTCTCTTATTATTTCCATTCAATCAAGGAAGAGATAGCGAAAGAATAATCATAGAAAATTTCATAAGAATAGAAGAGCTAACGTTAAATATAAATTTTCAGATGATAGATTCCACGCAGAAGACCGACCAACGAGTTACCGACAAACGACGCCCTAACAAACAAAAAGGCTACAAACGACACGACGCCAAACGACACGACGACGTACGATCGCAAGACGGGCGACGCGACGACATACGAGACGCCGGATGGCACGTAGACGACAGACGATGACTATATTAGACGACGGACTCCGGCCCAAGGACTACCCAAGACAAGCGCTGACCAAGCTTCCTTTTCTATAACTAGAACATGAACATAGAAATATATATATATATATATATATACATATATATGGGCAGGGTACATGTGGAAAAATGTGAAGATGAAATATCAATATGTGTATATACATATACACACATACACCATATATAAGATCACACATATATATATATATATAATATACTATACATATATATGTATATATATATATATATATTCCCTGTTCGAAATACATCTATTTAGATATATCAGCAAATAAATCAAAATAGAACTCAATACGATAAAAAATCGAATCGACCAAAATAGATTTCAATAGATAGACAATGACAGATGACTAGGGAAAAATTCCAAAACAGGATTTGATCATTATAGATATGCTCAAACCATACGACCTCTAATCTGATCAAATGAACATTGCGTCTTTGCAATTTGAAGAAAGATAAGGTCAAGTCTGAAGGGTTTTTGCCACTTTCAAAAAGCCAGCTCAGCTCGCCTGATCTTGTGAGTTCATACTCATGAGGTCACAGAGATTCGGCGACGCCGAAAAACTCGTGAAAAGGGAAGCTCTGCGTTGTGAGCTCGCACAAGAGGGCCTCCCAGCAAAACACTGAAACTGCTGGAAGGCGATGTAAAAGGCCAGGACCAAGCTCCGGCTCGTGGAGAACCTTGTTGCGAAAGAACCTGAGCAGATCTGCGTTCCACTTTGCTCCCTCAATCCTGCGTCGTCGGGATTCATCCTGTTCTACATCACAGGCAATTGCCTTCCAGCCGTCTCGATGCATGCCTTGCTCCTCACAGGCTTTACTTATAGCCTTCTCCAGTGCCCATACAATCCTGTCCCGCTCGGGCGGTCGGTCTTGACAGTTGCTGTAGTAATTGCCCAAAGCTGTCAAGAAACTCAGGTTGCGTTTTTGACTCCAAAAGAATGGATGGGACTGTATCACTTCGTACAAGAAGCTCTGATCTTTCAGCCTGTCTAGATACGCCCTGTCCTCCTCGTCTTGATGTGTGAGTGCACGCACCAGTTGGATGAAAGCATATCGACTATGCGCAGGCCAGTTCACAGGCACCAGGACCTCCAGAGAGGAGTCCCCCATTCGCCTCATGGTTGCATCTGAGAGCATCATGGCCAGCATAACCCTGCCAACTGAATACAGGTCACTTGTCTTGTGCAGCTTTGATCTTAGAGCTTCTGGGGGCGTAAACGGCAGGCTGGAGCCCTCAGCGGAAGTGTACAACCTATCTTGACCAGCTGTCAACATCCGTGAGATTCCAAAATCTGAGAGCTTGATGTTGCCCCTGCAATCTATCATGATGTTGTCAGGCTTGATATCGCGATGAATTATGTTGGGGTTCAATTGCTTCACGATATCCAGGAGACTGCGCGAAACATAGCAGATTGTATCAATGTGCTCGCCCGCAGAAAGGTCTCCCCATCTTGACATGGCCTCCTGCAACGTTCCCTCCATCAGCTCTAGGATCACAACTTGAAGTCGTTCTTCCCTCCTTCTCTTCCTGCGGCCCTGCTCTTCAAAGATCCTCTCCTTCTCGAACGAGGTTATGTATTGAATAACACCAGGGACTGCAGCGTTCATCTTCATGGCTTGCACTTCCTTCACAAAATGGTCACCACCATTGCCTTGGGAGTGCACTTTGACTGCAACCTCCCGGCCATCAGAGGGCACAATGCCAAGGAAAACTGTTGCATGTGCGCCGCGGCCGATCACCATCTCTGGGTGGTAATAAACATTGCCATCGCGCTTAAACTCAACATCGAACTCCCCTGACTTCAGCCATGTCTCATACGCATCGTGGTACCTTTGGGACTGGCCTGGCTGCCACCTTGCAAACAAGCGCTCCTGCGCCGGAGAGAGAGGCTCCCCCATCTCGTGAACAAAATCCTCTGCCATCTCCTCCCGCATCTTTTTCCTCTGCTCTGGCGCACTTGCTTGCCAGGGATTTCCAAACCGGGGCATCTGCAACAATGGCCTGCCAGCCTGAAGGTTCTCCTCTCGAACCTTGACATGCGTCCCGTCTGCGAAGGACACAACGCATCTGTCCTTCTCAAACTTGACGAAGGTCACCACTGACTGATTCAGTTCTGGCTTCCTTATCAAACCGATGAGTCGGGCTTTATCTCCCGGTCTGAAGGCGCTCATGGCTCCACAGGCAGCCGTAAAGGGATGAATCAATCACAGCATCTGTGTGTTGCCGTGGGTGCTGTTTTGTTCCCGTGTGCAGCTCCTGGAGGTGATCAATCTGAGATACCTGAGGACTGGTGATATTACGCTTTCCTCACAATGACACGATGTTAGATTGTATCTTATACCGTATACGACATATAGTGTGTATCTATCTATCTATATGTACACACACACACCATGCTTGTGTAAAGATGACGGCTTGTTGGTGTTTAAGCCTGACCTATGATTCTTTCTGGCTTAGGAACATGAGCGACAAGGAATCTCGAATAGCCTGCGTTCTGATTCTACGAGCAATTACTGCAGATGTGCAGGACTCATGCGCACTTAGTTTCGGCAACTGCAGATGTGACTGCAAGTCTTGTGCCTGAAAAGATTGCGGGTGGGGTTCAAGGTGCTATCCGACGGCCACTTTGCCTTTGCCTAGGCCTCCCATGGCGTCAACTAAGGCTACACGACAGGCAACGCGACGAGAAACAACTGTGCGCATAGACGAGATGGTACTTTGGAGGTTCATGGGTAGTTATAAGTGGGTTAGAAGTAGGGTAACTATACTTATACCTCCTATTAGGGGACATATAACCCTACCTATACCTACCCATGAACCTCCAAGTAGGTGTCGATTTCAACAGCCCCCAACATGATTGATTGCCAGGGTTCTATGACCAGCATTTTGCAATCAACGAGGCAACTTAGAAAGATCCGACTCGGTATGCAGTAGAAGCTCTTCATTATACCTAAAGTGGCCTCGCAGTCAGCGCTGCAGCCACAGGACATCACCCAGAGTTAGGAGCACATGGTGGGAAAAGTTTTGCTATTAGGCCCGCGACTTTTTCTTCAATAAGGATCGGCAATTAGGTGGCCAAATCGGCAGAAGCAGTAGGCTAGGTAACTTGCAGGAGCCGAAACAGCACGATCGTCCGACTTATCCCATTGGGCAAAGATCTGTTGCGACAGATCTTCTCTATTCCAGTCCTTCGGCTCCAGCAAAAAAAAATCGAATAGTCCCGGTCGCCGTTGGCCCCACCATATGCCTGACCTCTAGAAGGTCACAGCTGCGGGAGCCGTAGTCTTGGGATGACAGAGGCTGAGACACGGGGTCCTACAGTCTCCTTTTGAGCGTACCAATGGCCCTGCGTCTCCTTGTAAGATCCCCTGTTTGTGCTGTTGTGTTTGCGTGCCTGGATGCCGCTCACAGCAGCTCTCTCTATGACAGCTATGAAAAATGAGCCTGTAGTTCGCCCCCAGCAGGATTCTACGTCAGACAGCTGCAGGTAGCTGAGCCTGTGCCGGACACTAGACGGATGAAGCGTGTGCATTGCACAATCCATGCAGGTTCGTCCCGCATGTAAGTTATCTCAAAATTGCATGGATTCCAGCTGAAGCTGGGGTCCTTGGGGTCATAGCGACCGTACCTCGTTCCAGCCGCTCCGAAATATTGCCCAAACTTAAATCCTCACACTGTACTTGATGCAACCGAAATTCCCCAAACCTGCAGATTCAGCACAGGTGTATGACAGCTCTGAACGACTGCGTCAGAGTAGACCCGAGTCAGTGGAAAAAGCAAGAGGCCACCGCTGGAAGACAACACCAGGGCGGCATACCCTGTACCGACAATTCAGCGGCGCAAGGGTCGAACAGGAACATCCCCTCTCTGCCGGGCAGAAAGCGAGCATCTGATGCTCCCCCCTGCCAGCTCTGCGCAGAAAAAGCCTCACAGCTGGTCGCGCCACTCACGGTCTGTAGCGCCATCCGCCACAATCTCCGTGGGCCTGTCAGCGACCCATCGTCTCCGCTTAATTTGGAGTTTCCGAAAATAGGGGACCCAAATATAGCACCCTAAATAGTCGGACCCTTACATATTATAAGGACCCCAAAATAAGGTACCCCTAATTTTCGGAAACTCCCTCATGCTTCGGAGACGATGGAGCTTGTGTAGAGGGTCTCTCGGGCTCGGGATTCTTAGTTCAAGGGCCGGAGCAGGGCACTCAATCCTCAAGCCTAAACACATTCGGGTTCGAACCAACAGCCGAATCAACAGTGAACCACGATCTATCTGGCTATCTGAATACCTGCTTCCTAGCCCCGAATTCAACGCGAGATTCAAGTCGAGCATAGCAGTGACAAGCCTTTCAGAGCACAGCCCTAAACCCAAAACCCTAAACCCGAAGCCACTGGAAAGCAAAAGCCCGAAGCCTTCACCGAAATCCTGCACCCAAAGCCGAGACTTCCCGAACCCGAAGCCCAAGTCCCGAACCCAGACATCCTTCCCTAAACCTTGAACGGCCCTAAACCCTGAATCCTATACTGAGTTGTCCCCCTAAACCCTAAACCCTAAACACCTGAAACCCTAAACCGCTAAAGCCCTAAAGCCAAACCCTGAATCCTATACTGAGTTGTCCTTTGAGCCCTTTGTAAAAAATTATATACGATTATGGTTCTCTACAAAATAGTAGGGGGGAATTAAAGATCTCAAAGATCCCAAAGGACAACCCATTATACAAATTTGGCTCACAAATGCAACCTTTTCCTGCCATTCAGTCTTAATAAGGGAGCCGCTGAAAAAGGATGCTCAGAGGATACCACTGGACCTAGGATTGCCACTACTCAAGGAGTTTTCCTTTGCATCCTTAGGGTTTGTACCCTTGGTTTTGGGTCCCTAAACCATGGATTATGGCTCTTGAACGGGGTATTTGGGACCCCAAACCTAGGGTTACAAACGTCTAGGGTGCAAACTTAAAGTCTTTGAACTACTGCATTCTGCAGCTGCCTCTCCCCACCTAAACCTGGGGACCCTGAACCCTACCTGGACCCGAAATATCCTGCATCTGAGGGCTGATACAATTACATCATCAAAAGGAGCCCTAAAACGGTAAGGTTCTTCAGGGTCCAGGCAAATCCTAAATGCTAAACCCCTATATAACCCCTAAACCCTATACATACATCCCCAAACCCCAAAGCCTAAACCCCTAAACCCCAAAACCCTCAACCCCCAAATCCCTGAACCCTAAACCCTCAACCCTTATAAACCCTAAACCCCTCATGAACTCTAAACCCTCAACCCTTATAAACCCTAAACCCCTAAAGCCCATCTTGGATCCTCCAACGCACAGACCACCCGTCCTCGGAGCGAAGCTTCCTCGCCACTCGCTGCTTTCACCAAGGCGGCCATCGGAGAGCTCAAAGGGGGTCCCGCGAAGGCAGCCCATATCCTGCTCAGGGGATTTTAGGGTTAGGGTGTAGGGTTCAGGGTTGATCTTCTATACTCCAGATCTAATCACAAGAATGGTAAGGAACCCCAAGAAGAGTAAAGGTAATTGTTCAGGCCCCGAAAGCTTTTCTATACTCTAAATCTAATTACAAGACTGGTAAGGAACCCCAAGAATAGCAACGGTAATTAATCAGGCCCCGAAAGCAAAAATAGTATATAGTAGAAGCCAGAAAGTTGGAACATGGCTTTAGGAGGATTAGTGCTAGGACCCCTTATACTTTACCTTAAGGGCATGGGGACAATGATGTTCCAACTTTCTGGCTTCTGCTATAGGTAATTATTCTGGACTTTCAAGTAACCAGGGGGAAAAAGTATAGACTTTTTGTTTATAATTGGTTCCCTTTTTTTATACCAGGTCCCAAAAAAGTATTAAAGTATGGAACTCCAAAGCCCAGTATTCCGGACCCAAAGGCAGCCCATCTCCTGTTTGGGGGCAGCAATCCTAATGCTCTACTCTCGGGAGAACATACCAAAGCTTCATCCGCTTCTTTTAGCCCCCGATGAATCTCAACATCTCAGGGCCGAGATTTGGGAATATGACCCCAAACCCTAAACCCTAAACCCTGAACCCTAAACCCTGAACCCTAAACCCTAAACCCTAAACCGTGCCAAGATGGAAGTGGGGAGCCGAAGTTCCTCAGAGCCCGATCTCAACGGGCCTTTGCCAGCTTGATCGCGCCCAGCCACGATGCATCATGAGAAAGCAAGGTCATGTTGCCTTGCATGAAGCGGAGCAGTTACGGGAAGCATCAATCCAAGACGCTCCAAGACAGGCAGAATGCCCGTAAGTCTTCGAGTCCTAGAGTGCGTTCAATCTCACAGAGCTTTTGTGATTAGGGCTGCAGGGTGGATGGAATTTGGGGGTATGAGCTCTGCTGCTTGGAGGCTTGGATGCGCCCGACTGCAACCCAACTAACTATGCCTGTGCCAAGGTGCCGACCACTATCAGCAAAGACTTTGCGCGGCTGATGGCCACATTGGTGCGCTTGTAGTTGCCAAGGAAGCCCAATGAGAAGCGAATGTCGTTCTTGATCTCCTGCCAGGGTCTACAGTGCTTCGGTCTGAGGATTCAGAGCTTAACGGCTGTCGGATTATGGTGCACTGCTGTGTCTAGCTACTAGTATGTGGTATGCCGATTTGCGTCCTGCAACTACCTCATGCCTAAACCCTAAACCCACGCTTCTGTCCGAAAACCCTCGCCCTGTACAAACCGAGGGACCCTGAACACTGAAATCAACCGCCTAATCTGCAGGCCTCGAGGCATACGGTTTGAGAGAGTGTGAGTCTTTTTGGGGCTAAAGGGTCTTAGTGCTTAATTATAGGGTTCATGAAGCTTGAAGGCTTTAGGGCTTGTGAGGTTTGCTTTGGACCTCACACTTCTATTCCTCTGATTACAACCTACGCCATCACCCGGGCCAAGACTGACGCCTTGCACAGCCACGAAAGCTACAAGAGACCCAAGAGGGTTGAGGGCTTCGGATTTAGGTCGTCCCTTCGGGTTTAGGGTCAAACGCCGCTCCGCAAGGCCTGCTCCTGACGGGATCGGACCGTCGAGATCAGAATCACCTTCTTCTCCTGACCCTGAAACAGCCTCGGAGGGCAGTGCTGACTTGGCGTGGAAGAGCGCGTGCATGGTCGAAGGCTTCTTCCCCGTACACCCTAAACCCTACAACCCATCAATCCTTAGAGGCTTCAGAACTTCGGGAACCACGGTTCCGTTTTGGAATAATTAGGTAGCACCTAAACCCCTAAAAGCGAGAAAATAATGGCTCAATACCAATAAAGGGCTGATATTGCTACACTACATACGCCCGGGTCCAGGTTGGGTTTAGGGTTTGGTGACGTAGTGGATTCGAAGTTGTCGGTCTGCTTCGGTCTGAGCCGAGACATGAAACCTGAGTCTCGAATGGCACTCGGAGCTCTCTGGTACTTCAATGCTTCAAGTCTAAACGAGGAACTATATGCATGTTGTCAAACTTAGGGTCCCCTTTTGGATCCTTAATATAATACGGCACCTATTATTTGGGGTACCCAAAAAAGGGACCCTAATCTTGACGACCACCCATATATAGATAGGGCTTAGGGTTTTAGGACTACTATAGGATATGGGGCGAGGGTCGGGCGCTTTCTGGTGAAAGCGGGGCTTTGGGCTTTATTCTGACAAAGGCTCTGGGCTCTGGGTGCCGGGTGTTTCCGGGAAACGGATTGCGGGCAGAAAGGACTTGCGGGGGCGACGTTGATAGTGGTAAAGCGGAGCCTGACGCCTCAAGACTTACAAAGGCTACTGGCGCTCGGGGGTACTGCCAGAACTTGCAACAGAACCACAATAACCTCACAAAGCCTCAAACCTATCTGTCCAAAACTGCTCGCGTTCCGGATCCATTCTAGGAGGAGCAGCTCTGTCGTTCCGACTTCGATATCCAACCCTTCGCCTGCAGCGGGGAGTTGGCGATTTTTCGGGTTCCCTAAACCCTAAACCCCAAGGATGAGCCCTAAACCCTAAGGATGAGCCCCAAACCCTAAGGATGAGCCCCAAACCCTAAGGATGAGCCCCAAACCCTAAGGATGAGCCCTTAACCCAAAGCATGAGCCCCAAACCCTAAGGATGAGCCCTAAACCCAAAGGATGAGCCCCAAACCTTAAGGATGAGGGCGTAAACCCGAGCACCGAAATGCTAGGCCTCGGCAGATGAAGCGCAAACGGACACACTGCTTGTGGTATGGAGAGATGATGCCAATGTCGTCGGGGTCGACACCATGCTCCATAAGCTTCATCAAGTACATTTTGATGATATCCCCTTCCTCCACATTCTGCCATGAAGGCGAATCCTTCTGACGACTTTCCGTGCCATTGCAGTGGTGGAAGATGACCGGATGACGGTTCATGCCAGAACCTGGGCACTCCGGCCAAGTTGTCATAGAATAGCTCTCCTTATCTGTCAGACACCACGTAACAAACTTGCCCCTTCTATAGAAACATCACGGGCTCCCAATGTGCAGCGAGGAACATGCGGGCAGCAGCATTTCAACACATTGGCATAAACCAACTTGTTGTAGAGCTGGAGGATGGAGGGGTGAGACCGGTAGGTGTCCAGCAGCGTGAAGACTCGAGAATGGTCCACCGTTATCTTGTTGACCAAGCGCTCCTCGTGAACTTAACAGTCAACCGTCCCAAGCACCCTAACAGCTGTTATTTAGATGTTCACACGGAGCTGTCAAGCTGACTCAAACTCGGACAAGTGTATTCCTGCATGGCTCTTCCAGGCCTCGACTCCCCGAACCGGAGGTCACAACCCCGAAACGATCGAACCCAAGAGCTTAATGATCGCAAAGGCACCATCAGAGAGGTCTGCAAGCCGTAGTCAATGGCAACCGGAGAGCGGATCACAGGACCCAGCTGCTTGAAGTCGCCCGCGAGGCATATAGTGGCACGATCGGTGCGCAACCTTCTCAATGTACAAAATCCAAAATGCAGGCAGCCAAAACCCAAAATGCAGGCAGCCAAAACCCCTGAAGCTCAAACTCCTGCTCCCAAAGCCCTACAGCCCCTATCCCTATAGCTCGACGGCTCAATTTCCCCGATCCCTGCTTTGCTTGCAAAAGCCTCCACCTAAGGAAGCCCCAAACCCACTCTTTTACCGTTAGAAATCAAGAGTCTCTACATTTTTTTGGTATGTGTGTAGTGTTCCGTATATACACACATTTCCGTCCGTGTGTGTGTGTGTGTGTGTGTGCGTGCGTGCAAGTATACCTTTACATGCCTTTCTCAGGTGTCACGGTCCCCCCTTGCAAACCATTCGGGTTTAGGGATCCAGAAGTTTCTTGGTTTAGGGTTACTGTGAATCCCAGAAAGTTGGAACATGGGTTTAGGATGAATAGTGCTGGGATCCCCTATACTTTGCCTTAAGGGCATGAGGATAATGATGTTCCAACTTTCCGGCTTCTACTGTAGGGCTTCAACATCGACATGGAAGAGACACGCGTGCCTCGAGACCTAGAACGCTAGCAAGCTACGAAGATGAAAGAGTCTCGGGTTTCGGGTGTAGTTAGGGTTTATAGGATTTACGGTCTAGGCTCCCCGAAGCCATGTAATTACAACCCAAGCGCATGCAGGCAAGCTCCTGCTTCTTCAGCTGAGATGCGTGATGGGGACCAGTGCCTCTGCCTCAATGCTTTGTGCTGCTTCGTCCACGAAGACATGCGTGAACCATCCTCCCTGTCCTGCGATAGAGGGGTACAGGGCGTGTAGTTTTAAGGCTGTGGGCTCTGCTTTTGCATTCAGGGGCTGAGGCCTGAAAAGTTGGAGTTTCGGCGAACAAAGATCAGATCCTGAACTAAAACCTTAAGTCCCAAAGCCTTGCAAACTTCAAAACCCTCGAGCCCTCCACTGGAAGCCCGAACACGGAAACTTTGTGGACTCAATCCCAAGTCCGTACACGTCCTCTGAAGCATCGACTCAGAGTCTGGGGGTAGGGTTCAGGGTCTAGGGTTAAGAACTCAAGGGTTTCATGGGCTTTAACAGCTAGAATCGGGTTAAGTGGTGCTTGTTTAGACTCTTCGCGCATGAGAAGCCGGAATTGCATTATTTTCGGCTTCAAGGCTTCTGGCATTCAGGATTTCAGGGTTTCAAAAACTCGGGCCTTAGCGTGATCTGTGGCTCCATGGCCCCTTATCAAGCCTGATAACACCCATACAAAGGCCCTTACACCAAACCTTAACCCACATCCAGTCATGAAGGCTTGGGTTTTGAGTCCTTAATCCCCAACCTTAAACCCTCGTTTCTAACCCCTCAACCCCTACAGTAAACCCAGCAACCCCAAAGAGTCCTTCCCGAAGGCGGCTTCGGATGTAGGATGCCGTGGTGCAGGTACAAACGACGATCTGATAGCCCTGCAGCTCCTTCGCGCAGGTGTGCTGTGTTCGTGACGGTTTAGGGGTTTAGGGGCTTAGGGTTGAGTCCAGGGTTGAGGGTCTCTTTTCGGGTTTAGGGTACAGATAGGGTTCCGTGTTGGGGCTTGAAGCAACACATCCACGGTGCTGCGACAATGCGATAAGCACCCGAGGCTCCAAAAGCCCGCCTATCCTGGGCTGCCCTTTAAGAACCCACAGATGTCTCCTCCAGCGATGGAATTTGAAAGCAGCGTGACACCTAGCTGCAGATGCCGGGCTCTACTATCCAACCGTTGATCTGATAGGCTTAGGGATTGTCACAAGGAAAAGGCAATACTGCAATACCTTCGTGGGCAAAGGCAAATCAAAAGTTTGGCCGTTCAGGCAGGTTTGGCCTTTGCTCGCGAAGATTTGAGATGGCCCACGAAGAAGAATCGCAGAGACTCTAATATCTGTGAATTAAGGCATATACCCTAAATCGTATTAGGGATCCTACTTTAATTTAAGGGATATTCCTACTGGAGTCTCTGGGTTGGGCTCTGGATATAGAGTAGCAAGTGTCTTATGGTCGTACTACGGTTTGGGAATTCAGGTTTAGGTCGGGACCTGAATCTCCCCGACACCGCGGTGCGATTCCTTGATCCTACTAGGTTCCCCAGTGTCCGCTGCCCTTTTTTCTGGTACTCAACTTAAATAATGGAGCCCTGAAAGAAAAGGGCAAAAGGGTACTGCTGGGAACCGGGTCCCTGATTATATACAGGGGAAAGTGGAGGAGGGAATATATGGATTACACAGGGAATTATAAGGGCTGTTAAAAGGATCCGATCTCCCACTCCCTCTAACCTAGAGGCTCATACCCTGCCCCTGTTGAAGATACCAAGTTTTATGGTTAGGATCTGTTGTCTATAAAAATAAAATCCCCTAAAAACGGGCAGGGTATGAATCTACGGGTAAGCACCAGTAAATCTTGCTTCTTAGCCTCAGTCCCTGAAGCCGCGACCTCACCTGAACCCGGCTAAACCCCTGCCCAAAATCCCAAAGTTTGGGGATTTAGGGCATTTGGATGTATTTTTGTTTGACGGGTGTGGCCTGAGTCGGACGAAGCCTCGTTGGGTTCAAGGATTTAGGGTGAAGGGATTCAGGATTTAGGATTTGAATCCCCCCAAGCAAAATCCAAAACCCGACTCAGTCTCCAAGTGGAGCCCAACTAAGGCCCACATAAGGCATGGACAATGATGCTCTCCAGGTAATTTGAAACCCTAAACCCCAGTAGCTTATAGATAAATAAAAATTACTTGTCTTTGTTTGTAACTGCAGCTGCGACCCAGCACCCCAAACCCAAAATTGCAAAAAAAGCCAGCAGGAGGTGGAAAATGAAACAAGCTTCTTGATAGACCAATTTCTCTAACACCTTCAACCTAGCCAGCTCTCGCCCATCCCAGCCCCCACCCGACCAAGCCCAGTCCAATCGAAATCTTTTCCGTGAAATCTTCCCCACGAAACCCCGAAATCCTCCCCAAAGCCCCACAATGCTCGAAAACACCAAATCTTCCCCGGCGCAAGCCAGTCGCAGGCTAACCCAGTCGCCCAGCACCCGACAGCGCCCAGCCGTTTCCAACTCAACCCCACAAGCCCACCAACCAGCCCACCAGCCCACCAGGCCCCGCCCAGCCCACCCCACGGTGTGGCCGACCCAGCCCACCGAGCCCACCCACAAGAATTTGGAGCGAGAAAGCTGCTTCGACACCGTAAGTGTCTGTGTTAATCCAGACAAAGCAGCGACACTCTAACCGTGAACAGCCTTCATCTGCTGAGGCACAGCCACCGCATGCCCAGCATCATGAAGAGGGGCTCAGCTCGCGCCACGCTTCTTCCGAGAATGTGGAGCGAGCAAGCAAGCTGCTTCGACACCTTAAGTGTTTGTGTTGCTCTAGAAAGAACAACGACGCTCTAACCGAGAATGTGGAGCGAGAAAGCTGCTTCGACAGCTTCGGTGTTTGTGTTGCTCTAGAAAGACCAGCGACACTCCAACCGAAAATGTGGAGCGATACGTGTTTGCGTTGATCTTGAAAGAGCAGCGACACTCTAACCGAGAATGTGGAGCGAGCAAGAAAGCTGCTTCGACACCATAAGTGTTTGTGTTGCTCTAGAAAGAGCAACGACGCTCTAACCGAGAATGTGGAGCGAGAAAGCTGCTTCGACAGCTTCGGTGTTTGTGTTGCCCTAGAAAGACCAGCGACACTCCAACCGAAAATGTGGAGCGAGAAAGCTGCTTCGACACCTTAAGTGTTTGTTTTGATCTAGAAAGAGCAGCGGCGCCCTAACCAAGAATGTGGAGCGAGAAAGCTGCTTCGACACCATAAGTGTTTGTGTTGACCTCGAAAGAGCAGCGACACTCTAACCGAGAATGTGGAGCGAGAAAGCTGCTTCGACAGCTTCAGTTTTTGTGTTGCTCTAGAAAGAGCAACGACGCTCTAACCGAGACTGTGGAGCGAGAAAGCTGCTTCGACAGCTTCGGTGTTTTGGTGCTCTAGAAAGACCAGCGACACTCCAACCGAGACGTGGGTCAAAATCAGCCCATTCTTCCGAAACACCGAAATCCTCCCCACGGAAGCCCGGTTTATCCGACCCAGCACAAATGCGACAAGACTGCTCCGGAACAGTTTTCTGTGACGCACCACTAGCACAACGAAGCTGCTCCAAGCCAATTCGGCGGAGCACAAAAGCAACACCGCTGGTCTAAGACTGTCTAGTCTGTGACGCACCACTAGCACCACGAAGCTGTTCTAAGACAATTCCGACGGATCACAAAAGCAACACGACTGCACCAGGACTGTTTAGTCTGCTCCAGGACAGTTTAGTTTGCCCCCCACGTCAAAGCAACACGACCGCTCCAAGACAGTGTTCTTCGACCTACCACTAGCACGACATACCCAAGACGGTTCTCGTCGACCGAACATAGAAGCAAGACGATTGCTCCGGGACAGCTCTGTTTCCCTCCAACATAAAAGCAAGACAACTGCTCCAGGACAGTTTACTTTCCCTCCAACACAACAGCAACACGCTGCTTCCCCAAATCTTTGTTTGAGGTCCCAGCAGTCCGCCTGAGGGAGTCTGCGATGCAGCAATGCGAGCCAGGTGCCCGCATCGGTGCGCGTCTTCAGTGCGTTCACCGCATTCTCGAAGTCGCTTGCAGTCACCTCGCGATGGGCATGGACGAGTGGCCTGTCATCGAATAAGTGCTGCGCGACACCAACTTTTGACTGCCTGTCCTGGGCCCACTCTGACGGCGGCTTCTTAAGCGGCTTTTGGAGCCGGTATCTGACCAGACCAGCGAAATCCTTGAGCGGCTCCGCGTGCGGCTCTGTATTATACTGCGGTTCAAACGAAATGGAGCAAGCACTAATATCAGCTCGGTAACTGCCGTTCTCACGTCATACGGCTGCTCGACCGGCTGTCTCAAAAGCGATCGCAAGGCCTGGCTGGAAAGACATGAGCGATCAATCAATCCATGTTACATGGCGCCGAGGCATGGGACACAACAGTAACACATTAGCAGCGCACCGCCGTGGTCTCAGAACACAGGACCGCGCCTTCATCTCGTCCCAGGACGATTCGCCCCTTTGGGAACCAGACCGTGCCGATGCCGCCCGACCCTTCGACCGCGGTCAGTTCCTCCGCCTGGCCCACATGCACGCAACAAGGCTTCTGACGTCCACGCCCAACTTGCACTTCTATGGACTCAGCCCGGCACAGAGTGTTTCATCACTTTGTCCCGATCTAGTGGCATCGGTTGCTGTGGCACGCGGCCACCTCCAGCTTCCTCTCCCTCGCCGCGCCGGCGTTTCCTGCCAGGGCTGCTGTTACCGCTCCAGCAACATTATTCCGGCTGAGCCGCCCCTGTGCCGCACGACATACCGCCACACATATTGCGCATGCAAGCTTCCAGAGCTGGCAGCTGCAGCCGCATCTGATCTTGTGCCACCTCTGAGGACCTGCACACAGAAACTAAACCCGCACGGACGGAACGCACAAGAAAAGGAACCGTGAACACATACGGAATACTCACCGATTGCCTGCGAACTCGTCGGTTGATGCCTTTGGACTTCGCAAACTTGCGGCACTTTGCTTTCATATGCGACGTGGTTCCCAATGCTTCATCAGCTGTGCTCGCTTCTTCCCGTCCCTCCCAGCCCAGCCACAGCCGCCCAGACTCCTGCAGCCCACCCAGCCAGCCGCAGCCCAGCCAGGCAGACGAGTCCAGCCCACCACACCAGACCCCCAGTCCAGCCCCCCCCGAGCCCAGCCCCAGCCCCATCCCCAGCCATTCCAAAATCAGGCTTCAGTCGGAAAAACGTTTCGGTCAAAACTCTCGGTCACAACGTTTTTGGCACCCAAACCCTTAACAATTTCTATAAACCCTAGGCCCTAAACTCTAAACCCCTAAACCCTACATGATGCTTCCCAGAGGAAGGCACGGGGTCTGTGCGCGTAAACGGCAACACCGACTCCGGGATGTCTCGGAGGTCTCGCATCCTCCACTTGGAGGGTCATGGGACTTCTAAGTAAGGTTACAAGTACCTTACTTGGGGTTCTAAGTAGTTATACGTATAGTTACCCTAATTATAACCGGTTTCCGAAAATAGGGGACCCTAATACACTACCCTAAATAGTAGGATCCCTATCATAAGGACCCCAAAATAAGGTACCCCTATTTTCGGACACTCCCAGATGGGGTTGACGGTTCAGGGCTGACTGCTCAGGTTTTGAGTTTGGAGTTGACGGTTTAGGGTGTACGGTTGACGGTTTAGGGCGTGGGCGCCAAATGATGTGCTGCAAAACCATGCCGCAAAGAGCACTCGGATGATTCGGGGACCATGCAGGTGGGTTGTGGCTGGGGAAGTGGTCTACACCTTCCTTGCACAAGATGAGCCGGAGTTCAAGGTTTCAGACACAGAGTTGCAACAGTTCTATTGCAGGGCCCCAATAGATTCTTGTTTACAATCAAGCAGGTTATGGTAGCTTAAAGTATAGTTAAGGGTATAGAGTTCAGGATATGGGATTCAGCGCTCACTTTACAAGAATGTATATAGGGTTTAGGGTGGAGAGCTTTGCAGCTTGTGCTTCTAGACGCTGACGAGCAGAATCGGACTTCAGGGATGTAAAGTGGAAGCCAGAAGGTTGGAACAACCCTAAACCCTAAACCCTAAACCTTATCTTCTAGTTCTCAGCCCAACAATCGACCCACGTACTATGGTGAAGCTGAGAAGAATGCTATACTCATCATGATCATAAGGTACAAGCTGGAAAGCATCTTAGGTTTAGGGTTAAGGTGCAAGCTGGAACCCATTCTTAGGTTCAGAGATTAGGGTTTAAGAGTTTAGGGTTCAGGGTTTTCTTAAACCTGAACCAAGCCCAGAAACCCCGAGCCTGTATGCTGAACCGGAAACTCCTGCCCCAACACCGAAAGTCCCGAACCTTAAACCCTAAACCCTAAACCCCTAAACCCTAGACCCTAGACCCTAAACCCTAACCCCTAAACCTGAATCCCCCAACCCGAACCCTGAAACCCTGACATGCCGACAAGGCTCACGGCCACAAGTCGCAGCATCTCAGAGCTTCTCACGCCGAGACCTGACACATAGCACTAGGTGGACTTCGAAAGAAGAAAAGGTTTAGCAAACGAAGTGGAGTTTGGTGTTTAGTAGTTTTAGTAGTGCTTTTGGATTAGGATTTCGGAGAGGAGTCTTGGTTCAAGATTTAGGCTTAGGGGTTTAGGGTTTAGGCTGAGCTTTCCAGTCGGAGTTCGGGATGTTTGGCTTGAGTTGCGGGTTGCTTGAAGGCAATTCGGTGCTCGAACTAGGGCGGGGTCGGGCATTGATGATACTTATTCCTTTGGGATAGGTATGCTGTAACTATACACACAAACACACCCGCAACCCCTGTTCGAAAACTTAAGGTGTCTTTATCATGCACTAAGAAGGGTACCCTTTTTCCTGGTATTCCGCCCAATTAAGGGAAGCCTAAACTAGAAAGGGCAACAAGGGTACTATTGGGTTTCCTGGTGATCCCTTATAGAACCCTCCCAGGGGGACCCTGGAAGGGTACTACTGGGGAAATTCCGGAGCAGAGCCTAGTTCCAAACATTTAAAGGGAACTCCAGAAAGTTGGAATATGGATTAATGGTAGGATCCCCTATAATTTACCATAAAGGGGTTAGGATAATCATATTCCAACTTTCTGGCTTCTACCTTAGGGTTTAGGATTTCAGGCTTTTCTGGGATTCAAGGCTGAGGGTTCATGGGTTTAGGGGCTCAGGGGTTTAGGGTTTAGGGTGGTGTAGGGTGCAGGGCACATTTCTGGGTCCAACGTAGACTAGAAGTGATTGGCGCAAGGGTTGCGCAGTGCAATGAACATCTACAGGGATACGTGCATAAACACGTGGAGGAATGCCATCCAAATTGATGCAGTTTGAAGCGAACAGTACATTGGCACTGCCAGAGTACAAGTTCTGCATTTGAAATTTGAGTGGTTGTCAAAATTATGGTCCGTTTTTGGGTCCCTAATGTAATACGGCACCTGCTATTTAGGGTACCCAGAACGGGCCCCCGATTCTGACAACCACACATTTGGCTGTGGATAGCGAGCTTTTCATCAAAAGAGCTGGGTTGCATTGAAGGCTTCACGAGGCCCGTCACTGCTCACGGGCTGGATGAGGGTCCCACAGTTTCAGAAACTCCGACAGGGGAGTTGGTGGGTCCCAACATAATACAGACGATGGAGCTCTCAACAAAAGCATCCGTATCCCAAGCGGACCATGAAGGCTTAAATGAAGGCAAGACTGAGACAGCGATCGTACCAGAGCTTGCAGCGTCGCGGGTTTAGGCTGTTACCCTAAATACATCCATCCGCGCCTGCCAAACGAGAGCAAAGGAGATCGGAAGCTGGGTTGGACGGTGCTGACACGAGGATCCGCGCGCTCCGCTGTGCCTTCAGGACTGCATGGATGGTGTGCGTCCTTAGCTTCAGCAAGCATTGGCAGGCATTCTCTCAACCCGTGCCATGAACCCTGAACCCTGCAGCAGGATTCTGTGACTCGTGAAGTCAAAGACTGAGGATGGAAAGACGGCCTCTCTTCCGAGACTAAGAACTAAAAGCAGACACAAGCAAAGCAAGCATCTCGGCACCGTTCAGCAGAGAACAGCCTGACCAAAGCCAGAAGGTGTGAGGCTTACTTAAAGGATCATGGGACTTAGTAACCAGGGTTATAATTGGTAACTATACTTGTGACTGCTTATAACCCCAATTAAATTAAGGTACTTATAACCTTACTTACTAAGTCCCATGATCCTCCAAGTACGTTCACATGCTGTCATGCCTGAACACAGGCACGGATCAAGGTTGTGGTCTTGCCAGTGCCAGGTGGACCCCAGAGAAACAACGGCGAACCTGGATCAGAAGCCGCGTGCTTCAAGGGGAAAGAGTCAATTTTCAGGTTAGAGGTCTCGGAATTTGAATCTCTCTAAAATAGGGGCCTTAATGGTTAGAATAGAGTTTGGGTGTTTATTGCACTACCATTGTTCTACAGAACCCCAGAATAGCATATGTCATTATTTAAAGCCCCTACGTTATTCAATGCTCCGAATTTGGGTGTCGGAGTCAAGCTTCAAGGGATCTCTTCAGCCCTTAAACGCTCTGAACCGGCGTGTCAAGGGAACGTAGACATAGGGGCTGTAACTAACAATTAGAATAGGGTTTGGGGGGTATATTCTATTGTTATACTATAAGCAGAATACAGGAAGCCCCCAGAATAGTATTGGAAACTACTGATCCCCCTATATTGTCGGTTTTAGAACGTGTCAGCAGCGAGTGTTGATGTCAAGAGAACATGTACCGAGGCGAAGCGACCTAATAAGCCCCTTGACTCTAAACGCTGAACGCTAGACTCCAAACCCTAAACCCCAAACCACCAGACACTAAACCTTAAAACCCAAAACCATCCTACACCCTAAACCCTGAACCCTAACCTGTAGCAAGCCGAACTAAGCCTGGGCTCCTCCTGCTCCAAACCTGAAAGAAATACCCCGGAACCAGAACTACAAACACGAAAGCCCCATGTCCTCAATCACTAATGTGGGGGCCATAACTATCCTTATCAGGGTTTGGGCATTTTAGTAATAGTATACAGTACTGATAATAACCTGAATTGCGTAGCAATTCAAGCTCCTGTTTCTCCCATCGGGTAACCATTTGGTGCTCCCTCCATTGCCGGAACCCCCAGCAGCCTGCACGCGCCGTAACCGCAGCGAAGAACTCTGTCTGCTGTTGGTTGAGGTCCGGGTGTCCCCTGGGTCGTGGCCTGCAAGTCTCCCTAAAACAAGGAAAGCCAATTACAAGTTTCCGGGGCGAAGGGATTCCCCCTACCTCCTAAGCCGATTCGTCCATGACCTGGCAAGATCAACAAGGAGTCTAGAATCAGAAACCCAGAAAACCCTAAACCCTAGCGTAGACTAAACCTTAAACCGGGGATCTGATAGTGAACCGTGTCATCTCACATCTCTAGCCGGTGGCCCCGATCTGAGTTGCTATGGATTCATAAAGGGGAAATAATTACCTGTATTGTTTTGGGGGGGTTCCTTATTCTACTTCTGGTATAGTGGGCCCCAGAAAGCTATTCTAAGTAAAACGGCCCCTATATTAGGGATTGGGTTCAGGCTTTACGATTTAGAGATTGGGCTGGACTGCAGTTTAGGGTTCATGCTTCAACACTCGGGTTAATTCAGGATCTGGGGTTTGGCTGTAGATTTTACGATCTATGCTTCTTGGTTTACGGTTTAGGATTTTAGGCTATGTCTCGCCCATGTGCTTCCTCTGCATCAGGAGGGCTTCCAGACTTTGGGGACTTGTTGTACTAGGGTTTACGGGTGCAGAACCGGTGCAGGTCACAATTCGCCTTACAAAAACCCTGCGAAACGGACCGCGGATTTTGATGTGTACTGTAGTCACTAGCGGGTAAACCTGACCTGCTTCGCAGAACCGTCCCATCTTGGATGCGGGTCGACAAGCCCGGGTCGTGGAAAGTACGTATCGCTCGTAAAAGGAATCCAGATGCGAGCTTGAGTTCGGATTGGTAGCGGCTGTAGTTGCTTCGGTTCTGGGCTGATTTGTAGAAAGTCCAGCCTGACAATCGGCGCTGCACCGTCCACAGGGAATTTGAGGTCGTCAACGGCACGATGCATACTCCGCAAAGGTGTCCTGCAAAGGGCACCATGCAGGAAATCGATGTCAGCATCTACTATACAGTCTGCGAAGGCCCTCACAATTTAGACGGCGGTGTGAATCGCTGGTCGTGCGTGGGTTTCCGTAGCTAGCTGCAAGGATACCGTCTTGAGCGAAGATAGAGGCTCTCGAATTTGATGGTCCTAGCCGTAGAGTTTAATTACAACACAAGGTTCTGCCTCTGAAAACTGCCGTCTCACGGCTTGCATGATTGGGGTGTCCTGTTGAAGCTGAAATGGATCTTGAAGGGCGGCTTGTTGGTAAAGGTCTCATGGAAGGACACGTGGATTTGGTCCAAGAGAAGGTTGTGAACATAGCCGCGGAACTTGCCTTGCCTCAATACAGTAGTCGGGGCTGAAGGAAGATGACGAACAAGGAATAGGGTCTCAAGATTGAGCTTAGATACCAGTGTCCTCCCAGGATTTGCTGCGCTCTCTCTCTCTCTCTCTCTCTCTCTCTGTCTCTCTCCCTCTTTCTCTCTGTCTTGTGCTCTCGCTCGTCGCCGTGGTACGCATATATGTACGCATGTCTGTATGTATGTACATACGTACGTACCTAGGTAGGCATGTATGTATGTTGTCTGTCTGTATGTATGTATGTATGTACGTATCAACGAAAAGCATGAACGACAATTATGTATGTATACATCTGAATACATCATTATTTACATGTACATAGAGGCATATGTATACATCTATATATATATATACATAGATATACATATACGAGGACAAGTTTTAAATATCTTGTACTACCTCCTTAGCCTTCGCAATCTGGCCGACCTGCACGCATGTAAGGGTCTTCACCGTAAAGGTGATATGTATGCACGAAACAAACAACCTCCACAGCATACATATGTGTAGAACACATATATATATATATATGTATACATATATATATATATATATATACATATGTCCATACACATCTCTACACATATGCATATATGTGCATAAATACTTGCATAGATGATTAACAAGGATATGCTATATGTAGGTGAGTTTAAGTGTAAGTACAATGGAGCCGGTTCTCCCATCGGGGTATCAATCGGGTAACGCTCTGCCCAAGTCGCTGGCAGGTCAGCAGAACAGTATCCTCGGTTCTCCAGCAGCCCCTTTACAAGCAGAATCCCGTTAAGTTTGGTTTCGGGGTTAGCGGTGTGGCTTTGGGGGTTTGGGGTTTAGGTTTGGGCTTCCCTGACGAACGTTATTGAAACATGTTATCATATTATCAAAAACTACTGAAAGATTCAAGTGGACTCAGTAAGTATAGATCCCTAGTAAAGCCCCTTTACAGGACCCTCAGTCTCAGCTTTAAGCAAGGAGCCCCAAGACAAACCCCAAATCCTGAAACAAAAACTATTCGGAGCCCAGTCACTCCGCGTAAGATGCTCGGCCTCTTCTCGGCCAGGCCCGGCACGAAGATCCTGTGGCGCAATACCCTACTGTCTGGTTCTTAGTCGGGAATGGGGGAATAGATTATGGAGACTATTCTTGGAATTTGGGGTTATACAGGGGCTACTATAGGGATCCATTCCCCCATTCCCTACTGAGCACCAGATAGCCTATGTGAATTACGGCTACTTTATGGGTTCTTTGAATGGTTCTTGAAACTTAAGAAGGTTTCTGCAAGGGTGCTATGATTGAGGGGGGAGCCTTATCAATCAGAAAAGGGTCACTCTTCTTGATTACTTCTATGATCCAAGGGCCGTGCTCTGCGTGGGCGCATGCTATAGTTTATCGAACTAGAATACGGACCAATAAGGAATGATATTGGGAATTGTTGTTGACTTTCCTAATACTCTGCTTACAATCGCCCGTCAGCTTTTCAGTACCCTTGCCAGGGATGCGTGATGCAAGCCCGACGATCCTAGAACCCAGCCCTAAACTTAAACCCCAAAACCCCCAACCCTAAACCCAGACCCCAGATCTCCAAATAAGCTCCAGAACCCTAAAGCCTGACATCCGAAACGTGCGGGGATCTAGTGCTGTTCAGAGGCTCATGCATCAAACACAGTAGTCGTACAAGTGCTGCTCCTAGCTGTAGCTAGAACCCACAATCCTGGCAAATGTCTGCGGAGGTCGTTCGAAATTTGGTTGCTCTAGGTGGAAGACCCTGCCTATATCCTGAAGACAAAGCATAGCAATGCCCCTGATGTAGAACAATCCGGAATAGACTTTCTGATTGAAGCAAGCATAACCTGTGGAAACTCTTGCACACACACACACACACAAAACTCACAAGCATTGAACCACGACACAAAGCCCAACTCTCTAACAAGGAAATCCCAGACGAGGATCTTGTGAAGCTTCTCCTTTCTGAGATAGTCGAGCCGTGTATCAACCTCGAGGTCATAGAGGGCAATGTCGAACTTCATCTGAAGCTCCTGTTGTGAATACAAGCCTGAAGCCCGAAGCCCCAACAGCGAGCCCAAACCTTGCAGGCCCTAATACGTAAGCTGAACCATCGAAAAATTAACTTAACCCACACAATATCTGTACCGGGCATCCACGACCGGACGACGATATCTTCAGGTCTTCCCAAGAAGTGGACGTCTGTGGCGGTTTTACAAAGCCCCTTCTTCGAAGGGGCTTTGGCAAGAAGGCTTGGGGCTTAAGCTATTTCTGAATCTCTCCCCCATTATCAGTCAACACTATAGCCCAATGAAACCATACACTCTACACCATGACTGGAGTAAGACCGGGACTTCAACTGCAGCTCCTCCACGTACAGCAGGTGGTGCTGGTAGTCCTCTGCAACTGAACCAGAAACAATACACAGGCATTTCGTGCAGCTAAAATTATGCACTCGCGATCGAAAGATTCGGCTGAGGGGGATCGGAGCTGGGGAACAGTCCTTGTAGCGTGCTTCCAGCTGCCCAGGTTGCAAGCCCTCTGCAAGCAAGACCTTGCGCGCGGCGGCCTGCATCTTGTAAACTTCCAGTGCTGTGAGAGATTCCAGCTTCCGTGGTAGTGGATAAAGCGGGACCGGACTGGCAAATTCCTGGGCAAGAAGCGGCGGCTTCTGGCCGTCCAATGCTCCCACGGAATCAGTCGGCGTTCGACCTTTGAAGTTTGACTGAGTAAGAAGCTTGTATCTGCCTCCGTCAGCATGTACGATGACTCGCCATCGCTCCATCAAGTACCACACTGTGGAGAATCCGGTGCTCGGATAGCCTCGCTGTTGGCAGAAATCCACAAAGACATACCAAAACTGGTCGTAGGTGAACTTGCCCTCGAGCAAGTCACTGATACAGCCAGCAAGCTCCGCTGCCAGCCGGGGCACACGCTTGCCTCGTGACTCGTCGCCGACCTGACCTTCCTTCCCTTTGCCCTTGCCTTTGCCTGCAGGCTGCCCTTTACCAAGGCTCTGAGCACTTGCCCCCTTCGCCGGGGAATGCTTGCCTTTGGCTGGGGTGGCACTGGCCACGCTCTTGCCCTTGCCCTTGCCTTTGCTGTCTGGTTCACCTTTGCCCTTGCTTGCTGCCTTACCCGCACCTTTCGCTGCCTTTCCTGCGCCTTTCACTGGAGCCTTGCCGGCGCCCTTCTTGCCTTTTCCCTTCACCAAGCCCTTCACAGCAGCTTTCCCACCTCGTCCCGTCTTCCCCTTGCCTTTGGGAGTCATCCCCTTGCCTTTCATTGTCACCGGCTCAGGCAGTTTGCCCTTGCCCTTTCCTGTCCCCATGGGCCACTCGCCGAGTCCCAGGGTTTTCGTCTTGCCTTTGCCTTTAGCAAAAGACGCAGACAACGACTCATAGAAGGGCTCAACCGAACCGCCCTTAAGGCCCTTGCCCTTGCCGGCCACCTTGCCCTTTCCCTTGCCTTTGCCGAGGCCTCCCATGGCAATGGCAACTAAGGCTACACGACGACAGAAAGGGACCGAAAAACAGCTGCATGCACAGACTCGGTTCGTGTCGATTTCAGCTGCCCTTTGGAGAGGGGAGCTTTTCACCTATCTCAACTCGGTACCCAGTTAAAGACTCCATAAACCCCAAGCCCCTAAATTGGTCTCAGCGTCGGCCAGGCATCCGCACGATGTTGGAGTTAGGAGACTCGGGACATAAGGAATCTTTGACTAAGCATCTTTACGTAAGATTATAAACGGCTTGTGTGACGAATTTGGGTAAGATTTGTTGCAGGGTCTGCATTGGCTTGGGTAAGTGTTATCGGGATTTAACCTAATCCTAAGGTAGACCTAACCCGAGACTTCGCAGCAACGCGAAATGCCAAACTTTTCCATACGCGGGTTGAAGCGAGGCTGCCACGAGCGAAGGGAACTGTCCTGAAGATGAACAGCTTTGGGGTTGGGCTGCCAGGGCTCAAGATCTAGTCTAGGGTCTTACAAGTCTAAGCTCGAGTTTAGGTTGTAGCGGTTGGGGCTTAGGGATCTACTGTTCAGCTTGAGCATCAGGGCGTCGAAGTTAAGTCTAGGTTGGAGGAAGGTTGGGGTTTAGTTCAGGCTTTGGGGCTTGACGGTAAAATTTGCGGTGGCTCGGGAATGCTCTTTCGGTTCTAAGGGGGGTTAGGGTGCAGCTGTTCTTACAGGGTTTGCTGTTTAGTGCAAGTTTGTTGTTTGTGTTAGGGGCGCAGTAGTAACTCTAAACTCCAGACTCCCCTGACGTCCAGTGTTTGCGTTGGCGGTAACAGGGGGGCCTCAATAGTTAGAGCAGGCTTTTGGGAAGGGAGTACGTACATCATAGCCATAAAAGGACTTCGAGCTGACACCATTACTATCTACTCAGGCCCTGATATCAAGTCTGTCTCTGGGTTTGAAGCTCCGAACCCGAGACTAAGCTCCACACAGCAAGCCCTCAAGCATCTGGGATCCAGATGGCGGAAATGTCTCTGCGGCGTGGGTTTGGGCTTTTAGAGCTTTAGAGGGTGAGTGCGTTTAGGGGTTCGGGCTTCGAGTAGTGGTAAGCCATGAAACCTGAATCCAAAAGTCTTCGTTATGCTCAGCTACGAACCCAACCATGATCTGCACAAGAACTCCCACGTAACGAAAAATGGAATCCATATTCCAGGAAGTCTTCGAACCCTCAACCTTTAAACCCTGAAGACACCTGCCCAAAGCCCAAACCCCAAAGAGTTGAAACCCAAAAGCCATATTCTTCCTGGCAAGGGTCAGAGATTCAGTTCCTCCATCTTCTTCTCCAGCTCCTCTACCTTCAGAGCTGCGCAAAACCCTTGAACCTCAAATCCCCCAACCCGAAAACGGCTCGAAGATTCGGCTCCAAGAGAGCCTAAACAGGCTTCGGTCTGGGGGGTTAAGGGTGTAGGGTTTAGGGTTGGGGGTTACCTAAACCCCAAAAGTATGTAGAAAAATAGCCTTTTATAGGGTTTTTAGGGGCCATTATCTTACTTACTCTTGAGGGTCTAGGTAAGGGTGGTAGGGGTAGTAGCAATCGGGCTTGAGGCCTTTGGGTTGTTCCGAAGGGGCGTATATATATATATATATATATATATATATATGTGTATATGTATATCTATATATATATATATATGTATATATATATATATATATATATATCGAGTTCTTAGTTGTCCCTAAACCCTAAACCTGGAATAAGCGATAGTGACTACGATAGACGGACCTGAGGGCCGATCCTAATCATAAGGAGCCAGTCCCGGGAGTCGTTCGAGTTCTGGACTTTCAAGTAACCAGGGGGAAAAAGTATAGACTTTTTGTTTATAATTGGTTTCCTTTATATACCAGGTCCCAAAAAAGTATTAAAGTATGGTACTCCAAAGCCCAGAGTTTGTGCTTGGGTTCGCGAGCTGAAGCAGCAGGCCGAGCTTCGAGTTGAGAAGGGCGCAGGTGGAGAGGAGCCCTAAACACTTAATCTCTGAAGCCCTAAAACCCTGAAGCCGACACTCTACATCCTAAAATTTTAAAATCTAAACTCGGAAACCTAAAACCCTTGTATGAACTCAACACCCTGAACCCTAAGCTCTAAACCCTGAACCCTGAAATGTGGCAGTTTTCTGCTTGGGGTTCAACTCTCAGAGGGGCTCCAGGGGATGAGGGTCGAGGCTGGTTGACTCCGAAGCATTGCCTGGGGCTTAGGAGGTTTAAGGTTTGCGGTTTAGGGTTTAGGGTTTAGGATTAAGCTATAGGGTTTAGGGGGTTTAAGGCCTGGGGCTTAGGGGTTAGGAGTTAGGGTTTAGGGTTTCAGGTTAAGGGCTTAGGGGGTTTAATTGAATGACCACGGAAAAACTGCTAGGGTAACGTTCGGCCTCTTCCAGCATCTCTGACTTGCGGCCAATCTTCTGAAGCTGCTCCTGTAAGCACGAGCTCTGAGGGCTTCAGGCAGTGAGATATAGTCATACGACGAACATCACAGTATTGAGCACTCAAGGATCTGTCAGGGTTTCGGTTGAGGGCTTCGGAGGGTGAAGGGACGGCTGAAGCGACAAAAGACGAGGGTTTGCCTTCGGCGACAAGGACTTTAGTAGGTTGTTGCGCAAGTTGTTGGGTACGCGCCTTGATGCCCATCTTGGCCCTGTGGATTCGGGATCTGAGAAGATGTGTTTAACAGATCGCCATTCGGGTAAAACGTCTGGAATTGTTGCAGTTGAATCCTTCAATTGGGGTTTAGGGTTGATGGGTTGCTAATACAGAGGCCGGGCTCAATGATAGGCTTAATGAGAATTTGGCTCCGATATCTGACCCCTCAACCCTCCATCACGACAGCCTTTTTAAGATTGTTACTATTGCCATTGTTACTGTTGTTGTTGGTAGTTCTATTGTCGTCGGTTTTCCTTTCATCCTAGAGGGGCCTCATAAACCGCAAGCCCTCAACCCTACAAGACCGCGAAAGCCCCCAACTGAAGGAGCTTGAACGGCCTTCAAATAGGCTACACAGTAGTTATGATCAGGGAATTGCATCACTGGCATATCAAACACTTCACAACCCTACATAGCCCGCGCAGCCCTTATAAGACCCCACCTCGCTGTTAAACAAAAACCTTTCAATGCCTTACAACATTCTTGCAGGAGCATGTTCGGACCCCTACACTGATGCCACAACCCCAAAGCTCGGATCAAGGCACCTCAGATAGCTCCTTCGGATCCTTCTCCTGAAGGAGATCGAGGGTTAAGGGTTTCAGGTTTAAGGTCTAGGGTTAGAGCGGGTTTAGGGCTTAAAGGGGCTTAGGGCTAAAGGTGGTTTAGGGTATAAGGAGGTTCAGGGCTTAAAGGGGTTCAGGGTTTGGGGTTCTGCTCTTGCTTCTTTGGTGGGTGTGATTTGGTTTGCCTTATTCATAGGCCTCTAAAACAAATGCCCAAAAAGACATGTGGGGCTCTCAGAAAATAAAGGTACCACTTGCAATTTGCACTGCATGGTCGGGGTTAGAGCCAGGCAGGGTTTAGGATTTAAAGAGTTTGGGGTGTAGGGTTTGACGCAAGCACAGTGGATGTCTTCAATGAACTCTGGCTCAGTGGTAGTCCCATGCCAGAGCTTGAGAAGCCGTCAGAAGCATGCATCTGCTTCAACCCCCTAAACCCTAAACCCCAAAACCCCAGAACCCCTAAACCTGTAACCTCTAAAGCAGTGCACAGCAGCTGAAACCCTGAGAAGTCCTCCAGAGACTCGATCTCGGCCAGCTTCTTTCCTCATCAAGCAGGAAGATCGGGGCTATCGAACTTCAGGGCCCCTAAACCCCAAAATCCAAGAGCTACTAGACCTTAACACGGCACTAAACCCTAAACCCCACTAAATCCTTCTAGCCCTACTAAACTAGATCCATAGCCCCAACTCGACTAAACCGGCCAGCTCAAATCAACGAGAGATGAGTCAACTTCAAGCACAGAACTCATGCTGGCCAGCCCTGAAAACCAAACCCCAAAGCTGTGAGCGATCTGTATCAGTGTCAGCACTACTCGCTCCAAGACGGCGACCAGGATCACGGTTACGGTTACGACTGTGAAACTTGTAAGCCTCGCATATTTGGCAATCTTGCGAACTTTCACCACGTGTTCGTACAAATGAACCTTCTTGAACCTGGACATGTGCGCTGCTAAGATATACGTAACAGGAACTCTACAGCCTAAAGAACTCTACAGCCTAAAGCCCTGAACCTTGCAGGTAAACTCCACAGTCTTAGCCTTTCAACCCCGAACACTTAAGGCCTGTCACTGAAAGCCTAATGTAGGAACCTGATGAGGAATCTTGGGCCTTTATTAGGGTTCCATATATGAGCCCTGGCATTTTGGGGTTATATGCCCAGGGTTTCTTAATCAGGTTCCTACATTAGACCATGAGCCCCAGCACTTCAAAAAAACCGTCCCTACCCAGCAGAGCCGAAACAGGACTCCAGCCGCAGCCGAACGGCCAGTTTGGATCGCGGCTAAGCCGACTACGCCCCTAAAGCATCTTCGAAAGGCTCACAACCTTGCAAATCCGTTTATATCCTTCATAGTAATCCGACAACACCGTTGATGTTGGGGGCCACAGTCACTCCAAGCGGTTTGCTGTACAGCTTGCCAGCTTGAATCCTGACCCCGTAATGTTGGGACCGCAACCTTTGAACTAGGGCTTTAAACTTTACCCGTACAGTGGTTGCTACATAGACCTTATTGACTAGAGTAGGGCTGTCGGGTGAACACTAGTGCGCCATGATGTAGGGACTAAAGAGGGTGCTATTTGACTAGGCAGATGCTTTCAGACCTACACTACTTTCCAATCCCCGAGCAACGTCCCAACCCTGAGAAGCAGATGAATATACCGGGCTGCGCAAGTTCCGGATGCGCTTCTCCGGCTTCACCTCCCCCACAGGGTATCGTGGATAGAATTTCGAGCAGATCAACATAACAGAGTGGCATCAACCAACCACGAACCT